CAAGGAGTGACCAGGAACAACGGTCACAAGCTGGCGGAGGGAAGGTTTAAGTTGGACATCAGGAGGCGCTACTTCACGGTCAGGGCGGCTAGGGTCTGGAACCAGCTTCCAAGTGAGGTGGTGCAGGCTCCCACCCTGGGGGTTTTTAAGAGGAGGTTGGATGACCACCTTACTGGGGTCATTTGACCCCAGTGCTCTTCCTGCCATGGCAGGGGGGCGGACTAGATGATCTGCTCAGGTTCCTTCCGACCCTAGAAACTATGAAACTATGAAACTAAGTCTAAGAGCAACATGAGAAATCATGCAGTTTGGGTGACTTTATAACCCAATCCAGAGTCTTCCCTTGAAGACAATGGAATGACTCTAACTGGCTTGTGGTGGACTGTGGAGCACATTGAGCATATAGTAAGTGTTATTCAGCTATCAGGATGTATCCAGAACCCTAGGGAAATGACTGACTTGAATTTTCTAATGAGCTGCCATTTTAGGTGAACTCTATACATGTCTTAGGGTCCATCATCCTCCAAGCTTCTCCTCATTTTCCTTTCCTCCTACACTGACTTCCTTTCTGAACCAGGACTGGGTGCTGCTGTTTGCAACTGATTAAACATAACAGATATAAACAGATATAAAAATACCAAGAGGAGACACAATCCCCTATTCCAAGGCCCGACACTTGAACATGTTCCCAGACAGACTGGCCTCCTCCCTGCTACAACTCACCTGTAAACAAATTTGCAATTGTACAACCCTAATGACATGGTGTTTTGCATATGCAAATTAGGCCCATTGTGTCCATAAATAAGCCTCACCAAAATCTCTAGGGGATGGCATCGCTACTTGAATTAAAAGGGTCTTTCATGTGAAAACATCACAGCACAGCACACAATACAGCACTAAGAAACACACTGTAAGGACCCATGAGATGGCTTGGGTAACACGGTGGGGTTTTTTCCCATTTCTAAATGTTATGATTATCCAGGTGGTTCTGAAACAGAAAATACTCTGGATTTCTCCACCCACTCCATATATCTGTGGTGTAGGAAAGAACTACAAGACATCCAAGGGAGAAAGATGAGCAAACCTGTTATTTAGTTCATTCCATGGGGACAAATGCAGAACTGTTCCCTCACAACTGTGCTCAAATGCTTGGTCTTGTTTAATTTTAAATGACTCAAATGATGGAGCTTCTACCACTTCTCTTGGGAGACTATTCCATAGTGTAATTAACAGCGCAGCTAAGAAATTTCTTTCAGATTCACCCTGCCGTTTCTGTTTTCCTTCCTCAGCTTTTCCTCCCTTACGTGCACCTCATTATATCCTCATCCCACTTTCTTTCCCTCATTGGCTTTCCTTCAACTACCTGTCATAAAACACTTACCTAACAGAAACACACATCAGACAAGTTCAGGAAGTGACTCGGGAACAGGTTCAGTAGTCTGCTGCCGTCACTGGAGGGAACATGTGGCTCTTTACTTCGTTGGCTTCCTTTAAACAGACGGATAATTACTCACGAGCAGCTACAAAAGTTAACTATAAATATGTAAATAGGGAGAGAATAAAATACTCATTAAACATTAGGCATTTACTATGGAAATTAAGTGTCATTAGATACATAGAAGACTTTCCCCAACATTTGTTTTTGTGGAATATCTCCCTATGCCTTCATTAACGTCTCTCTCCTTAATGCATGGAGGATTGGGCCACCCAGTTTGAATAAATTCAGACCCATCCTGAACTCATGCCCCGCACTGAAACCCAAGTCTTGCTCTACATATTTTTGGGCTTTGGAGATGTTCCATCACTCTCATTTTATTTTCCAGATTTTGCCTCTTCTCTGCTTTCTGGTTTGATGCCAAAGGCTGCTACAGCATTTTTGCCTTAAGAAAGGTAGATATAGACTTCATAGATGTTAGGGGCTAGAAAGGAGCTCATGAGATCATCGGATCCAGCCCCCCCACCATAGGCAGGAAGTCAGCTGGGATCTAGTGACCCCAGCAAGAAATAAATCCAGCTGTTTTTGAAGGAGTCCAGAGTAGGTGCTTGCATCACCTCTGGGGGGAGTTTGTTTCAGACCCCAGACACACACACCATGAAGAACTTTTTTCTTATATCCAGCCTAAATTGGCCTTCCTGGAGTTTATGGCCTTTAGACTTTGTTATCCCTTGGGGAGCTCTGGTGAACAGATGTTCTCCCAGGTCCTGATGTGCCCCCGTGATGAAGTTGTAGGCTGCCACCAAGGCCCCCCGGAGCCTTCTCCTCTCCAGACTGAAGAGTCCCAAGTCCCTCAGCCTCTCCTCATACAGCCTTCCCTCCAGGCCTTGGATCATACAAGTGGCACAGTAACTATGCCGCATTATTGCGCGTGTAGACATGCCCTGTGATGATCAACAGATCCTGCCCACTGGCTTGTTATAGAACCACAGAATCATAGAAAATGAGGGCAGGAAGGGAACCTCAGGAGGTCATATCTAGTCTAACCCCCTGCTCTGAGCAGGACCAGCCCCAACTACATCATCCCAGACCTCCAGGGTGTTGCAATCATTGAATCATAGAAAATGAGGGTTGGAAGGGACCTCAGGAGGTCACATCTAGTCCAACCTCCTGCTCCAAGCAAGACCAGCCCCAACTACATCATCCCAGACAAGGCTTTGTCTACCTGGGTTTTGAAAACGCCCAAGGATGGAGACTCCACCACCTCTCTGGGTAACCTGTTCTAGTGGTTTACTACTCTCCTAGGGAGAAAATTCTTCCTAATATACAACCTCAACTTCCGTTACTGCAACTTGAGACCGTTGCTCTTTGTTCTGTCATATTTATAACCCATTATCCATTATCCATTTTGCTGCAAGGAACAGTGATGTGGAATTGGATATGACAAAGCTCCCTGAAAATGGGAGCCAGCAACACCTTGAAGGATCTTTGTAGACTTGAGGTATCCCTTGTTAGCCTCAAGCAACCCCTTGAAAAAATTTTAGCTCTTTGCTTTTGCTAGCTTTTTGACAACAGAAAAATAATAGAGCAAATTTTCTGTTGCAAAAAACTCTGAAAGACCATAGCAGGTCAGCATGTTTTTAATACTATGGATTCTTATTTGACATTTCTGGGTTTATCTTTTTAATCATGTTTGTACACATGGGCAATACCAGAAGTTGAAAACTGGTTTTTATTTTCAGCAACAGGAAAAAAAAAACAGGAGGAGAAAAAATCACAAAGCATTCATTTTTTGTTGAAAATTTTTCACATTTTTTAGGGGATTATTTCTTTTTTTAAATAAATTTATTATTTAGGGAGCTAGACTGTTTTTAGTGGTGGCAGATCAAAAAGCAATGGTCTCAAGTTGCAGTAAGGGAAGTTTAGGTTGGATATTAGGAAAAACCTCTCTCAGGAGGAAGGTGGTGAAGCATTGGAGGAGGATACCCAGAGAGGTGGTGCAGTGTCCATCCTTGCAGGTGTTTAAGACCCAGGTAGACAAAGCCTTGGCTGGGATGATGTAGCTGGGGCTGGTTCTGCTTGGAGCAGGCGGGTTGGACTAGATGTGACCCCCTGAGGGCCCTTCCAACCCTAATTTTCTATGATTCTATGAAAAATCTGGTAGCTCAAAATACTTTAATTGTCAGGTTTTCACAGCGCTCTCAAAAAAATTCCAGCAAAACACGGACCTTTTCTCACAAGTTTTCCATTTTTCTTTAGATGGGGAGCAGGAAGCGAGGGGAGATGGAGCTGCAAAGTATCAGTGAAATATTTTTAACCAGCCCTTGCAATCACTTTGATGAGAACCCAGCTGTTTTTCTCTCACAGTTTTAGGAAGTGTATCATGGTGAGAAATGTTCTAGTCTGCTCCTGCATGGGGATAATCCCGATTCACCTTTCTATTAACAGGCTGGAACAGTTCAGCTAAGTGCAATTTCACAGCCACCATTGTGGAGGAAGTACAAGTGTCTTCATCTGCGTGACATAGGATTTGACAATAATGTATGTGCTACAATAAGCTGGTCAAGGAATCTCCTTACAAATGCCATAACATTTGGCATATATTTACAAGTTGATTTTTTTGGAGATTTCCTTGTTATACCGAGGTAGTGCCTAACGGGCTCCAACCAGAGAACAGCACCTCGTTATGTTGGGTGCTGCTCACACACTCAATGAAAGATTTCCCTGGTTCCAGACATTTGATTATATAGGTAAAAGTGGCATAAATGCACTGCTCCTTCAGCTATTGTCTGAGATATTTAAGCAATCAAACCATGTGACTACCATATTTGCTTGCATACAATGCACCCCTGAATAACCTATGCACCTTGTGTTTGAAAGGCTGAATGAGGAAAGAAATCTTTCCTTGACACTCTCTGCCAGGTGCGGAAGAGAAAGTGTCTGCAGCCAGGGGCTAGGGACCCCAACATGCAGCCTGAACAGCTTTACTTTCTTTCCCTGGAAGAGACAAAAGCAGAGGCAGCTATTTCTATATTTCCTTGCTTACAATGTACACCCGAATTTCTAGCAGCTAAATTCTGGGAGAAAGCAATATGTTGTATATGAAGAAACATGATGAACATCAGCCAATTTGGGGATTCTGGATATGTAGTATCAATTGCCCAGGTGGTGGGAAAAGAAGGAAAATATCAGTATGTCATCTAACCGTGTCAGCCAACTGGCTGGATTTTAGTACTGTGAGGATGCATATATGCATAATAATGCACTGTGGTATGAAGACTCATAGATTCATAGATTCATAGATGTTAGGGGCTGGAAGGGACCTCGCAGATCATGGGATCCGGCCACCATGCACTAGGCAGGAAGACAACTGGGGTAGGTGACCCCAGCGAGGTGACTGTCCAGTCTCCTCTTGAAAACCTCCAGGGTAGGTGACTACACCACCTCTGGAAGGAGTTTATTCCACAGTCTGGACACCCTGAATGTGAAGATTTTTCTGGTATTAAGCCTGAAATGGCCTTCTGGGAGTTTATATCTATTGGTCCTGGTCTTTCCCAGGGGTGCCCTAGTGAACAGTTGTTCACCAAGCTCCTGATGCACTCCCCTGATACAGCGGTAAGCCGCTATCAAGTCCCCTCTCAACCGTCTCGTCTTTAGGTTGAAGAGGCCCAGGTCCCTCAGCCTTTCCTCGTGTGGCTTGCCGTGCAAGACCCTGATCATACAGGTAGCTCTTCTCTGGACTCTCTCAAGTTTTTCCATGCCCTTATTGAAGTGCGGTGCCCAGAACTGGACTCAGTGCTCCAGCCGCGGTCTCTTCAGTGCAGAGTACAGCAGGAGTATTACTTAGTTTTGCACGAGATGCATCAGATGATGCACGCCAGTGTGTTATTTGCCCCGCTGACCACTGTCTCGCACTGACGGCTCATGTTCATGCAGTGGTCAGTCATTACCCCTAGGTCCCTTTCGGCCAGGGTGCAGGTCAGGCTGTCACCTCTGAGCCTGTAGGTATGTTGAGGGCTGTTTGCCCCCAGATGGAGCACCTTACACTTCTGAGTGTTGAACTTCATCTGGTTCTGGTCCGCCCAACTCCCCAGCCTGTCCAGGTCCGCCTATATATGCAACCCATCTTCTGATGTGACCGCACTGCCCCATAACTTGGCGTCATCCATGAACTTGGCCAGCGAGCTTTTCACTCCCACATCTAAATCATTGATAAAGATGTTCAAAAGCACCTGTCCAAGCACGGACCCCTGAGGGGCACCACTGGCCACTTCGCGCCAGGGCGACACAGATGTGTTCTTGAAAACTGTCTGGTTCCTACCATGCAGCCCGTTTCCCACCCACTGAACCGTTGAGCAGCTGAACCCACAATCTTCCAGTTTTCCCACAAGGATATTGTGGGATACTAGATCAAAACCTTTTGGAAGTCTAGGTATAGGTCTACCTTGTCTCCCATGTCCAGGTGGCGAGAGACTTGTTTGTAGAAGGAGATGAGATTGGTACCTGGGACGAAGTTGCGCTGGCTGTCATTCAGCATCTTACCCTTAATGAGTGTATTGCACATAGATTCTCTAATGAGCTTTTCCAAGATGGTCATCTAATGGTAAGTACAAGGGTCTGGATGGGTCCACATAACGCTCACTTTTCCATGGCAATACAAAGTTTATTGCTTAAAGTATTTAAAAGCCTTTTGGGCATTCTTGGGAAATTATATTACATTACATTACACTAATGCAATGTTGCTATATTATTGTTGTTAGAAAATTATTATGCATTATTATATAAAGTGCAGTATTGGAACCCATTTTAGGCCCAGCATTTTATGAAGGACACAGAGAAAATGGAAAGGATCCAGAGGTGAGCAACAAAGGATAATGAAAGGGTTGGGCAACAAGATGTACGAGGAAAGGTTGAAGGAACAAGGTATATTTAGTGTGGAGAAAAAGAGATTAAGGGGGACATAATAGCTGTTTTCAAATAGCTGATGGCTTGCCATAAAGAAAATAGAGGAAAATTGCTCTCCTTTGCCACAGATGGTAGCAATGGATTTAAA